AAAAAAAGGCACCTTTGGGACAACCAGTACCAGGATGATGGAGCATCTCCTAGATGATTAAGAATGCTATGCAGAATTCCGTGCCCTCTTTTAAAGCTCCAGATATTTGCAATTTTTGCTAAGGCTTGCTCTTAACTTGCAGGACAAAGGAAGGCATAATTTTCTACTATATAGTCACAAGCCAGTGGGAAAAAATAACCTCTCTTGCTAGGCTATCATTAACAGATTCCCTTCTCTGTCCCAAAGGCCCTGGTGTGTGTGTGTGTGTGTGTGTGTGTGTGTGGAAGAAACATGTGGAAAAGGATAGACTGAACCACGCTTAGTGCAGCTGAAGGCAGTTTTCTTACAATGCGGTGCCTCAAAAAAACCTCAAAGCCGATTTAACGAAGGGCTATGGAGGTTTAAAGAGGGAGAACTTGTTTTATGAGCAATGTTATTAAAAGAGAGGTTTCTGAATTAGTTTTCTGGAAGTCCCGGGGATTTTTTCGTGGGGGGAGAGGGAGTAATATAACAGGATTCTGTATGAGCCTCATAGGAGACTGGAGGCTGAAATTAGGCAAAACTAAAACATACGAAGAACATCTACAACTTCCTGTTGTAGTTGTGTTTCCTCCCAGGCTCTAAAACCTCATTTATTAGATATTTAATTACCTGAACGGTGATGTGTGGCATACTATAAAAGGCCTGCCCAAAGCATTTTTTTTTAAAAAAAAAATCTGACACAGTTTTATTCTGCGCCTTTAAGATAAATGCTGGGCAAAATAAGGTGTGTACTGATGATGTTACTTAGTTGGGTCATGAAATGTCTGCAAGAAAACAACCAAGAGGCCAACAAGGACCTCATAGTTTAACAAATATTGTCTCCTATTGATGCTCTATGCTCTATACCAGGAGTCTTCAAACTTGACGGCTTTTAAGACCGGTGGACTTCAGCTCCCAGGATTCTTCCTCCAGTCATGTTAGTTCTGGAATTCTGGGAGTTGAAGTCCACCAGTTTTAAACTTGCCAAGTTTGAAGACCCTTGCTCTATATACTCCGTTATGTCTGATTCAGTGGCTCATAAAGCGGACAGATTCAGACCCTCTTTTAAATCTACGGAGAGATTCCCAGACACAGAAGTGAGAACGCTTCCTTTTGCCAGTCACCTCTATAAAATTAGAAACTCGCACTGGAGCAGGCCAGCTCTCTGGGTTACACAGCCAGGAAGTGGTCATCCCTCTGTTAATCAAGGGTTTCTTCTCTGGGACAAGCACTCTGGGCAGCACACCAGTGGCGAATTTAGTTGTGGTTTTATCTGATGTGGCTCCTGTCCACTGGGACCTCAACACGGAAGAACACAATGTCCTAATTCTAGGAAGCCCTTAGTAAACGCTTAAGCTTTACCACACGGGGGAAAAACGAGAGCTGGATCTTCTCCCCGGTTTGGTTGTGCGCAAAAACATTGACCTGGACTCCAGATGTAGTTTTAGATCCGGGCTGGGATGCCGTGTGTGTGTGTGTGTGCTTGAACAAGTAGATCTCTGAACCATCTAATCGAAACAGGGTTCCAGGTTTTCCAGGTAAAGCTAGTTGTTGGGATCTGGCTAAGAGGTTACAGAAACTGGGCTTGGCTAGTCTAGGGAAGAGAAGGACCAGGGGAGACAGGAGAGCAGCCTTCCAGTAGTTGAGGGGCTGCCACAGAGAGGAGGAGGAAGGGGTCAAGCTATTTTCCAAGGCACCCGAAGGCCAGATGACGAATAATGGATGGAAACTGATCCAGGAGAGATTCAACCTGGAAATAAGGAGAAACTTTCTGACAGGGAGAACAACCAACCGATGGAACAGAAGTTGCCTTCAGAAGTTGTGGGAGCTTCATCGCTGGAGGCTTTCAAAAAGAGACTGGACTCCCGTCTGTCAGAAATGATGGAAGGTCTCCTGGTTGGGCAGGGGGTTGGACTAGATGACCGACAAGGTCCCTTCCAACTCTGTTAATCTGTTATCTGTTATCAGGTTCTCTTCCAAACTTCTGGTCAAATGTGTGGAAGTCAGAAGAAGCAGAGGTCCATCCGGGGTGGCACCCTTTATCTACCCAGTTTGGGCCACCCAAAGTTCACGTTTGGCCCAAACAGGACAGACTGGAAGCCAATGAAAGAAATCCGTAGAGGATAAAGCCGTTGTTAGTTTCCAGCCATGATGGCTAATCATTTGCTCGTCTGTTTTTCTCTGAGATAATCATTTGCTAAATCTATGAAACCGGACACTAAAAGGGAGCTCTTGAACTAGGGAAGGCTCTGCTTAACGCTCTATTGAAGGACACTTTATTAATTATTATCTAGGCATGCACAATGCCAAATTTGCTTCTTTAGAGAGGTTCTGGGAACTTTTCAACCGGGTCCCAAAAGTTCTTTTCAAAAGGCAACTGGACTTCCTTGGTTTTTCCCTGCCTCCTTGAAAACATTTCGCTTCTTATCCAAGAAGCTTCTTCAGTTCTGGCTGAATGATGAGGAATGGAAGGATTTAGAGTAGAGTAGAGTAGAAGGGAAAGGGAGGGGAAGGGAAGGGAAGGGAGAGGAGGGGAGAGGAGAGGAGGGTGGAGGGGAGAAGAGAATTTTTTATGAAAATTCTCATGGGTGCAAAATGTACCATGAATAATTCAACTGGTTCACTCGAGCACAAAATGTAGAAAAGTCACCACCATGTTGGAAGAAAAATGTTGAGAAAGATCTATGGAGATTCTCCATCCTCCAGGTCCTGGTTGTCCCAACGGGGCTTTTTCAAGAGGCAACTGGGCTTTCTGGTTTTTCTTTAAATACTTTTTGCTTCTCATCCAAGAAGCTTCTTCTTTTGAAGACGACAAAGCCCCCATTGTGGACAGAGAGGACCCCTGGTTTGAAAGAAGGGGTCAAAGAGGCCATCTAGGTCCCAGTTGAACAGCCTTCTCTTATAGAGGGGGTGGGATATGACATCACCTATTTCCAGTCTACATCACTCTCCCTTCAGCAGTTCCAAGAAGGCTCCACAAGCATTTGCACCCCTCAGGTGACACAGACAAACCTCCAAGTGGCCTCAACAGCTCCATAAAAAGGATGCAAATGACCAGCTGTGTCTGCAAGGAGTATAAATCCTTCCCTTCTCCACCATCCAGTCCGAGCTGAAAAAGCTGCTTGGATGAAGAGCAAAACATCCTCAAAGAAAAATCAGAAAGTCCAGTTGCCTCTTGAAAAATGGACCTTTGGGACAGTTGAGAAAGATCTCCATCCTCCATCCTCGATTCCTGTGGAACCAAGGTTGGTCAACCCGTCAGAGAAAGTTACTAACATCAACAGAACAACCCAGAGTATAGATGCATAAAAAGCAGCTACAAACCCAGATTTCATCCAACTTTCCTTTTTCTTCCCATCTTCCTAGTTTCTTTTAAGTTAGGGTCCGGACCAAAAGGTTGGAGCAATCGAATAACCAACCTAATTCTGACTCGGTGTTGATGGCATTGTAGAATAAAAAAAATTCAGCTATTCCCTGGGGCCAAAAATATGCCATTTTTCCTTGCAATTCCTTGCAATTCTTTTGCAAATATGTTTGCCTTTGAGAACACAGCTGCTCTCCGAAGAAGATCAGTAACTAGGTTTAAAGTGTCCCGCAATTTCCCCTGCAGATCTTCAACATCTTCTGTAAACCAAGATGTTTCATCATAGGATGGGACTTACCTTCCTTGGCTTCACTTTGTCGTGATAGTCATACTGGAAGATTCCTTTGTAGCTGAGTCCTAACCACCATGGGATTCCCTGCTTATCCTAGAAGGACGGGGAGAAACAGAATAAACGACTTAGTTCTTTTTAACATTTTACTATTCAGCCTAGAACTAAGGAGACATTTCCTGACACGGAACAATGAACTAGTGGAACAGTTTGCCTTCAGAAGTTGTGGGTGCTCCAACACTGGGAGATTTTTCAAGAAGAGTTTGTCCGAAATGAAATAGGAGTTTCCTCCTGGAGCACGGGGTTTTCTGTCCAAAATGTGGGTTTTGCTGTCTTCAAAAGATCGGCCTTTGTCCTTTAAATGCAGATGGACTGCTGAATCTTATGCTGATGAGTTTGTTCTCCTAAGTTGTGCCATGTGTTTTATCCTTTCAGGCATCTGATTTTTCAGTTTTACTATTCAGCCGAGAACTAAGGAGACATTTCCTGACACTGAACAATGAACTAGTCCCTATGAAGTCCGGGAGGCCATTTATTTACTTGTCAAACATGTACAAGATAACAAGTATAAGTATGAACATAAACAAGGACAAAGGAAGTAAATACAGATAAATGGGGTCAGTAAGAGAGGGACGGTAGCAAGGGTGGGATTCTATCAGTTTGCACCTATTTGCTAGAACCGGTTGTTCACATTCTAAGCAGTTCGGAGAACCGGTTGTTAGAAGAAATTACTGGCCTAATCCTGTAAGGAAGGCAGGAAGGAAACATTCTGGAGTTGCTTACAGAAACTGCCTCTCCGTTAACCCTTATGACATTCTTGGCAGGTCTAGACTTCCTGTCTCAGGAATGTCTCTGGAGGCTTTTCCCCCTCCTTTGCTGGTACTTTGCTTGTGTGGAATGACCATTCAAAGTTACAATGGCACTGAAAAAAGTGACTTATGACCATTTTTCACACTTACGACTGTTGTAGCATTCCCACAGTCGTGAGAGGCCAGGCGAGGAGATGCGTGCCTCGATGCAAGTGATATTGAGTTGGCCACACCCAGCCAAAAACATGGCCACCAAGCCATGTCCACCCAGTCACATGACCACTAAGCCATGCCCACCACCTAAGCCACGCCCACAGAACTGGTTGTTAAAAATTTGAATCCCACCCCTGGACGGTAGGCATGCTGGTGCGCTTATGCCTTCCCCGTTTAAGGACCTCTTATAAACTTAACACAAAAGACAACATTCAGAACAGAACCCCATATAAATAAATAAAGATTGCAGTTGTCTGCGGCCAACCCGTTTGTGAATTAAATAGCACTTTTCCAAGCGAACGCACCTTGACTGCATAATAATGGACTCCGTAGGTTGGAAGCGACTCTACAATGCTCATGTAACTAGAAAAGAAACATCAAAGATGATGTCAAAGACCCAAACTGCATGGTAGTTATGCAAAGCAGCATTCTGACAATGTTTCTAGACCCATTGTTGCAACCCAGCCTTGCATGTTCTAAACCTGCCCCCAAATTGGAATTCATGTCACTTAAACATCATCATGCTTTGTTTTAGAAAGAGTGCAGAGAAGAGCAACCAGGTGTCAGGATCCCAGCAATTGCCCTAATTAAATCATGATTCTCGAGCCAAACTTCAAAAAACTTCAAAGGATTTATTAGAGGCGACATGCTGGCCCTGCCCTGGATGAAGCCAACTCTGGCATACGCCATTTACAGTCCCCTGAGACCCTGTTTCCCACCTCTCCCCCTGGCTCTGTCATAAATCGGATTCTCCAACTGAGCCCATTCACGGGCTGGCTGTCGTCAATCACGTTCTCCAATTAAGTATATTCTTGGGCAAAAGCTCTGGTATTTTAGTTACAATCTTTTAAAGATAAGAGTTGGAATGTACTTTTCCTTTCAAACTGCTGCACGCGTTCTTCCAGATTTCCTTCCTCCCCACCTCCTTTTTTTATGGCAGCTACTAAAAACAGGCATAGGAATGTTTGATGAGTTGACACCAGGGTGATTAGGGGACTAGAGACTAAAACATATGAAGAAGAATGGTTGCAGGAATTGGGCCTGGCTGGTCTAGGGAAGAGAAGGACCAGGGGAGACAGGAGAGTAGTCTTACAATATCTGAGGGGACGCCACAGAGGGGAGGAGGAAGGGGTCAAGCTCTTCTCCAAAGCCCCTGAAGGCCGGAAAGGAATAATGGATGGAAACTGAACAAGGAGAGTCCAAGGTCACCATGAGATGCAGAATTCACAGCAGCCATTCAGTTTTCTGTGTCCAGAATTCCCGTTTGTGACTTACTTGACAATAGCCTGGCCCCTCGTCTGTCCATTCAGCTTCTTGTAATGCTCAATTACTCGATCCTCACTTGGAAAAAAGAGGAGGGAAAAAAATAATAATCCAGGATTTAATTTAGCAGGCAGAGCTGGAAAAGTATGATGGCATTCCAGCGTAGGAGATGCCAGCTCCTCGGTGATCAAGAAATCGCAAAGACCTCTGGGATCAACTGAATATAGCAGAAAGGAGCATTTACAGCTCCGTATTTAAGTCCCCTGTGAGAAGGAAGGAGTGGGTGCATCTGCCTTTGCGTTGACCTTGGATTGCAGAGACCTGAAGCAGATCCCCACTCGATCAAATAGATCACTGAGTGACTATGTATGGATCAGCCACTCTCTTCCAGCTGCCTCAGAGTACATTATTATGGGAATAATGGGGGTTTTGTGGGGACAATTTTTAATTTTATATTGCATATTAATACATATTAATGCATGTGATACCCGGGTATCATACATTTTAGTACAAATAAATATAATATTATTACTCACAGTTATTACATTTCATTTTCATTGTTTCCTCTTGTTTAAACATATCTAATACTACCGCCATTCAATTTCTGAACCTCCCTCATGTCTTGTTATATTAAAATACGTATATTGTTGTACCCCTCTTATTTTTATTTCTATTCTAATTTTTATTCATGTCAGCATAGTTTTCAAAGGCGTTTCTTTTCTGTCTTTCATCTTTCGCCTGCTTTATTATTCATATTTCCCTTATTTAACTCTTCACATCTCTCTATATTAAAGTTTCATCTTTCATTCTTTCATTGTTCAGTGTTTCAATATATAATTCTAATACAAATCGTGATATCATTTGAACATATTGGGTGGATCTATCCATATTCCTTCCATTCATCCAATCCATGTAATTAATACACATGCTTACATTAAAATATATTCTTTTGTGATCTAATTACTCATTGTTTGATTTTATTTTGAATATATTATTATTCATTTTATTATTCCATTGCTCCTCATTACTATTATTTTGGCATGTTAATAATATTCATTCATTCATTCTCTCATTTTCCAATTCATGCTTAATTCTTATTCATAATTCAGTTCTGGGAATAATGTTAGGGAGGATTCTTCTACCCTCAAAAGTTGTGTTGCTCAACTTTGGCAACCCGAAGATGTGTGTGGACGTCCAGCATGGGGTTGGGGAATTCTGGGAGTTGGAGTCCTCCTCAAGCTGCCAAAATTGGAGAAACATGGTTCTAGAACTTGCTTTGAGTTTTCAGAGAAAAGATGGGGGAAAATGATTTAAGAATAAGAACATAGAAAAAAACGCTAGTGTCACGCCCCTGTTGGAATCTGATTCAGAGGGGGAGGCCAAGCAGCTGACAGGGAGATGGTGTGTGGCTCCATTGGCTGTGGAAGAAACTGGGGAAGGGCACAGTCCGGCTGGGCAGAGCAGGGGAAAGGGAGAACAAGGGAGAGGGAATTCGGAGGAGGACCCAGGCCCACCCCCTCTTCATCCTAGGGCACGCAGGGAGGAACAGAGAAGGGAGCAACATGGGTTGCATGGCTTACGGGGCAGGAAAGGGCCCTGATTCCCTTCATTAGCTGCAGCTGGGAACACAGAGTTTAAAAGGGGAAGCTGCGCGCAGCAACTTGTTGGAAGTAAATCGTGAATTATCTGTTATTGTCGTGGCTTATCTGGGTTCCTGGTGTCTTCCCAACTGTGTGTGTTTTGTTGGCCTTTCAAGCCTGCAATTCCTTCTCCTGCCCTGTCAAGTTAATTGCTGCAGCGAGGTTTGTTTGGATTTTTAGTTATAGTTTGTATATACTTTGTTTTCAGACTGAATTTCCTCCACTTAAAGGCTGTCCTTGGGAGAGTTTTTTTTCTCCAGCCGAAGGTAACTGGACATTGGGGGCAAAGTTGGGGATAATAAAGGGACTATTCTTGTTTATTTGACTGAATTGCCTTTGTGCCACGCCCCGAGTCATCCGAGGGGGAAATGATTTAAGAATAAGAACGTAGAAAGGAACGCCAGCCCTGTTATTCAGAAGCGATTACAGACTTTGAGAAAGTTGTTTCCCAAGAACTGTAGCAGAATGAAACTCCTTTTGCAGGGGTCAGCGAGCGGGTGCAACGAGTGGGTGGGCCAGAGAGAGAATAAATAAAGATCACCCAGCCACAAAAAGGGAAATAGCGCATTCCCTTTGCTGTCATCGAATTACAACGCTGGAGAAATGAAAGGGGAAGCTGATAAGAGAGAAGCTGGGAGCCAAAAGCCTTCCAAAAAAAAAAATACCCAGACAGGAAAGACACAGAGCAAACTGTGGAAGGCAAAAGAATTTCTCTTTCCGCTTCCTGGACAGATTCATATTTTGTGCCGATGAAAGAGGCATCCGAGAAGCTCCCCGTTTATTTTAAATTGGGTGCTTCCAACGCACTGGTGGATTTAATTCCTCAGCCTGGCAGGAGGAGAAAATGGGAAAGCCTGGAGATTATTCATAGGGCGGAAGATTTTATTTATTTTTGTTTTATTTTTTTATTTTGTCACTTGCTTACAAGATTAACGGGTATAAGTATAAACATAGTTATGAATACACGAAATGGATACGAATAAGAAAAACAAAAGAAACAATAGGACAGGGACGGTAGGCGCGTTGGTGCACTTATGCACGCCCCCTACAGACCTCTTAGGAAAGGGGTTGAAGTCAATAGTAGACAGTCTAAGGTGAAACTTTTTGGGGTTTGGGGAAGAAACCACAGAGTCAGGTAGACTATTCCAGACATCGACCCCTCTGTGGCTGAAGTCGTATTTCCTTCAATCAAGATCTGCCAAACTCCACACCAACCTCCTGGCTCTTGCCCTGGAGAAGGTTTGTAGTAGGTACACAACGCGTAAGGTCCTTCCTGATGAAATGAAGGAGGAAACAAGCCGTTGGAGAGCCACTAGCTAAAAAGTCTGGGAAGGGTTTTACAGGTAGCCTTCGAATCTACAACTCAGGGGTCATTTGAAGTTCTGAAGACTCATCTGGGGTCTCTTTTTGGCCTAGTTTTGAGTTGTGGTGGTGCAGTGGTGAGAGTTCAGTACTGCAGGCTCCTTCTGCTGACTGCCAGCTGCCAGAAGTTTGGCGGTTCGATTCTCACTGGCTCAAGGTTGACTCAGCCTTCCGTCCCTCCAAGGTGGGTAAAATGAGGACCCCAATTGTTGGGGGCAAGAGGCTGACTCTATAAACTGCTTAGAGGGGGCTGTAAAGCACTGTGAAATGGTATATAAGTCTAAGTGTGCTTGCTGTTCCTCTCCTTTCCTTCCTTTCCCTTCCCTTCCCTTCCCTTCCTTCTTTCTTTCCTTCTTTCCTTCCTTCCTCGCTTCTGTGGGAGCGCAGTGGTTAGGATGCAGCATTGCAGGCTGACTCTGCTGACTGCCAGAGGAGTTTGATCCTGACCAGCTCAAGGTTGACTCAGCCTTGTGTCCTTCCAAGGTTGGTAAAATGAGGACCCAGATTGTTGGGGGCAACTGGCTGACTCTGTCTGGTTCCAAGGGTTTTGGGCTCTTCCTTCCCCACAGTCCTGCTATGTAACATTGGCTGTGTGGCAACTGGCCTGCACTGAGTGGAAGGTGGGTGTCTGCACCACCAGCCCATCAGGCCACTCGGGGTAGATCTTACTAAGGA